GGCATACACTAAAAATTAACAAGTTCTTAATAAGTGGAATTCATTTGTTGTATCTAAATAAATAATTGAAATGTTAAAAAATTATGTAGACGAATGAAAATACATGTTCTAGTTTCACTATAAATTTAAATTTAAGTATCTTGATTTACTAATCATATTATGACATATCTAATAAGTAATTTTAAAAATATTTTCATTCAATGAGTAACTTACTACTTGTGCTGCAGAATTCCTTACAACTGGCCTAAAATTAATCAAAAAATTAAAGCAACTCTTATTAATGATCTATTAATTGAAATGTGTCACTTGGCACAAAGTGGACAGGTAACAGGTAACAAAATTACTGACAGTACAAAACAATCAAAATTTTTCATAGCAAATATTGACAAAACATTACGGAATTGCGCCCATTGAAACACAATTGATTGAACATGTAAATTAGCTTCCAAATTAGCTTCCAAATTAGCATTAGCATGCATAACTAGATGCAGAGAGGCCGAGAGAAGTCAATCATTAAACTCCTGAGTGTATATCAATGTCAAAACCATTGTTCCTGAAATTTGCTTGCNATGCGTAACTAGATGCAGAGAGGCCGAGAGAAGTCAATCATTAAACTCCTGAGTGTATATCAATGTCAAAACCATTGTTCCTGAAATTTGCTTGCAAAGCCTCGATCTATTCATCGTGTAACAATTCATTGCGTTTCAATGGGTGCGATTCCATAATGATTACCAGCAGGTCAATTTGTTGTTCAGATAATAATTGATTTCAACCTAGCTTACTCTGGTTCTTGAAGCAAGACTTGCAAAAGGGACTCTCTTAACCTGTAGAAAAAATAAAAACAAATAAAATTGGGTTGAATACTTAATAATTATTTTTCTAATTAATTGCATGAAATATTGTTCATACTACACTGAAGATTCCTTTACCATAATTTGCCATTTAACATAATTTCTGAGTATTTTACTAGGAGAAAGGTGAGAGGAAAATGAGAACCAGAATTATCAAGCTCTACATTTGCATTAGGACAATCTTGACATTTCTGCCTCCCACAGTTCTTGCCTATTATTTTATGATTCAAACAGCTGTTAAAAAGGAACAAAAATTTGTCAAAATAATCAATTGAAATATTTTGTGACAACAGCATAGTACAGCGATCTTTGTTTGCTTTGTGGTTACTCCAAATAATGTGTGTGGCCTCTTAATGTGGTTCAATCAAATGTGTGTTTC